AGTCACCATACTGCATGCATAAAGTTCATAAGTTTCAATCATATTCATGTCTATGGCTTATGGAATTACAAAAGAAGTACGGTCTGATTTTGCAATCTGATCCACAAGGCTAGTGCCTTGCAAACTTGAGCTCTATGCATAATCCATTCAATAGATCAATTTGAGTGGCTTATTGAATCGTCAAACTGATGAGTGATAAAAGATTTGAAGTGGCAACATCAAATGAATTCAACTTTTAGTGATGGTATACTCGATCGAGCTGGGCTATGACCCAGAGGAATGGGAGGAATGTCCAGAAGATGAGTATTTCATGCTGTTCGGCTTCTTTACGAGGATGTTCCTGTCGTTGGTTGCTGTTGGCACGACTGCTTTGCTATTTTGGTTCATTGAAGCACGAAAACAATGGGCTAAACTCGCTAAAGACACCACTGAGACACAACAAGCACCGATCTATATTCAAACGGTACACGCTTACCAATTAAACGTGCATCTCGATTCTAAGCAGTAATTCACAATATTACTTGCTTAACATAACTCTCAATATTACTCAGTATGCGAATGACATAATTCCACGAAACTCAGTTACTGTCATATTTCATACAGCATATTATTGCAAATTCCCAATCATTTTAAAGTCCCGAGATTGTTTTTTGGTCCCATGCTCATCTTAAGATTCAGCTCCTTTGAAGATGAAGAAGTGTCACTATTCAACATAGTCTTTTTGAATCAGTGAATTCATAGCTATTTGAAAAAAAAACAGTTTATTTATCAAATCAAGTAGATAATAGTATTTTGAAATCTGCAACCATCAATATTACTTGATATTACTGAACATGAATGAATTGGGGTTGATTGATTCAAAATTCGAGGTGAGTATATTGCCGGAATTATATGAAATGCCACAGTTCATCAAATCTCACAATCCCGATATCTTTCTGAACGGAAATCCCAGGATCAGGATCAAAATTCGGGATCCTGGGATCCTTTACAAGCATTAGTGCGCTATTTATCTACAGTGATGACACATGCAAATTGGAATTTACTACTGTAAATGTTCCGGAAGGTTCAATTAACTGTTGCAAATGATCGACTCTTTATGCTTCGATGGTATTTGACCATATAAGATATTATGCTGATGATGATTGCAAATATTCTTTAGCAGATGACGACGAAAGGACCTGAGCAAACGATTGCACGCATCAAGGAGAGTTTAACTGCAAAAGATGTATCGTTGCCTAAAGGAGAACAATACCAACAACGCGATGAATCTACGTTCTCGAAGTGTGTCTTCTCG